GCATTTTGGTGTTACTTTTACTTTTCGGCTGGGCAATGACTTCACTGGTTTATTTAATGGAAAAGCTGTTCAGTGAATCTTCAATTGCCTTCATGGTTATTTATTGTATTGCGCTGTTTATCGGGATAAACACAATGGTCATGAGACTTCTTATTGACGTTTTCCAACTGTTGGAGGTTACCTCGTATTGGAAAGAAACATTTGACTCTTTTGTCCTCATCTTTCCACCTTATGCTCTCATGTCTGGTCTTGTTGATGTAACCAAAAATCAACTTTTTGCCGAAATTTACACCCTTTTTGGTCAAGATGCATATGTTAATCCATTCTCGATGCAAATGCTTGGAAAACATTATATTTATTTGGCTTCAGAAGGAGCCATTTTGTTCTTCCTTAATCTTTTCATTGAAATTATTGCCAATTCATCATTTTTCCACTGGATTCGTTCATCTAAATCACCAATCTCATCTTCATCCACCTCATTATCTTCAGCCTCTTCAACCTCATCTTCATCAGTCTCTGCTTCTTCTTCCACCTCAAACCCAAGAACAACAACGACGACAACCACAACGATAACTTCATCAACAACCTCTTCATCTTCAACAATCAACGGACAATATGCTAATGAAGATTGTGATGTGATTGAAGAATGTCGAAGAGTAACTCAAACTGATGGTTCTCTTTTTGATATACTTCGAGTCATTGAAGTAACCAAAGTGTTTAAATCGATGTTTGGTAAACGAGTAGCTGTGAACAATGTTTCCTTTGGAGTTCCTAGAGGTGAATGTTTCGGTTTACTTGGAGTTAATGGAGCCGGTAAAACGACATTATTCAAAATGTTGACAGGAACTCTTCAACCAACATCGGGTAAAACTCTCGTCAACAATAAAAGCATTGCAGCAACCTTGGCGAGCAACTCAAGTACGCTGGGTTACTGTCCACAGTCAGATGCTTTGGACATGGTGTTGACACCAAGGCAACATTTAATGATTTACGCTCGTCTCCGAGGTATTCCTCATCTTCATCGATCCCACCTAATTTCACAATCTTTGACCAAATTCCAGTTAAATACTCACGCTGACATGCCCATATCAGCGCTTTCACGAGGTACGAGACGCAAACTTTGCCTGGCTTTAGCCATGTTGGGCAATCCTTCACTGGTTCTCCTTGATGAGCCAACCAGCGGAATGGATCCAATGAGTAGACGATGTTTGTGGCAAAATATTCAAGATGCTATTAAAGAGCGAAGATCGGTTCTGTTGACTTCCCATTCAATGGAAGAGTGTGATATACTCTGTTCAAGATTGGCAATCATGGTTAACGGAAATTTCAGATGTATTGGAAGTCCCCAGTATCTGAAACATAAATTTGGAACCGGTTATACAATTACATTGAGAATAAATGAATCCTATCTCAATTGGTCTGATGCCATTAATTACATGAAACAAAGCTTTCCCTCAATCATTTTAAGGGCCCATCATCACAACATGTTGGAATTTAGTTTACCTACAAATGACATTTTACTCTCCGATATTTTTGCTGTCCTTCAATCAGCCATCCACAGGCTTCATTTGCAAGATTTTTCAGTTACACAAACTACTCTAGATCAAGTATTTGTTAGCTTTGCCAATCAACAAGTCAACGATTTCCATAATTCACCACGATTGGCGAACATTCAAAGGACAGAATCTATGAAATTAAATTAATTTTCAATTGTATCTTTTTTTAGTCCATCATCTGTATAATAAAAAAATAAATAAACATAATAAATTTTTGATGAATCAAATTGACTGAAATTTATTTATCTTATAGTGTTTTAAGAGATTTAGGTTCGCGTTAGATTTAGATGTTGAGTGTAAGCGATATCAGTAAATCAAAGCAAGAGTTTGTAAAATTCAACAATAAGTTAAACTGATATTAATGAGTGAAACTGGAAAAAAGATGTTGAAAATTGTCAAAAGTGGCTAGAGACAAATCAATTGAAAGATGGTAAGTGATTGAAAAATTCGGAATCAACCCTAAAATCTATTAAAAAATACTGACAAACGCTTCAGTGAGACTGGTTTTTGACGATTTCTCATAAACATCATCATATACTTAATGATCACCGTTATGTATGCGATTCAGTTTCACACATCTACTGTGAAGTTGAGAAAACAGTCAATTGAAAGAAAAATATATTAACATCAACAATAGCAAACGCATTGATTCTTTGAACAAGAAAAGGAAGTGCAATAGAGAATGAGAAATTGAACTCTTTGATACTTTATTTTCCAGTAAACTGCATGAATCAATGATTAATAGGTAATATCAATGTCAACCAAGTTTTTCACTTGTTATTCTTCCTTGAAAAAGATCTTCATTTTTTTTGTGTTAACCAACATAAGAAGAGATTGCTTCAAACGGAAGCAAGTAATCACTCTCAATGAGGGAACGTTTTTTATAGACTATTTTAGATGTGTTGCTTTGAGATACGGTCAATTACAGGTCCTTAAGTCAGCGTCCAAGAGGCTGTTGAGCAGGTCACTTATACGTCAATGAATACAAGTTGTTCAACAAGGTACCTTTCCTTATTGTTTTGCCAACCTTTTCTTTAGCTAACCAACTTTATTGCGAGTGATTTTATTGCCAAATCCTATTGTTGACTTGAAATTTTAACATACCTTTGAAGTATCTTCTGAATTGATAAAAACACATCGTTGATAGGTTATTAGGTCTATCACAGCGGAGTAGCTTATTACTTGGAAATTCAGCTTCCTCAATTCATGAGATTGCAATAAATTGATGACAATATCAAAACAAGTGAAAGGATGAACACAATTAGATATAAACACAATAAAACAATTGATGACAATGACCTTCTAGTCCAATTAATCGTTTTCTTAACATCCACATCCTTGGGTTTGATGAAACTTGAAACAAAGCTTAACAATGGAAAGTTTATGGAAAAAAGATTACACTACCAAATTTACGATAAATTGTTAAATTGCAAGTTTTAGAGTAATCATGATAAATTCAATTCAGAGAAATGAAGGAAATTTTAGTTTCCTAACAAACCCAAAAGGTCTAAATCTTATGATTTTCCTATTGTCTATCGCCATGTAATTACCCTTTGTTATTAATATCTGTTAGTATCTGATATCCAATATCTGATCAAAAAAATCATCAAGTTGTTGTGAACATTGTTCAGTGAACAAGGTTTTTCTTCGTTGTGCCAAGTAGATTAAGTCAATCGGTTAATCAATCAGTATTGTTTAAATATTAAGTCATTCAACAATAAACCATCCTTTAATGATAAGTAAATAGCTTTATTTTAAATCTAACGGTGATTTTCAACAATCATAATGATCAACATTGAAGATTGGAAAAAGAAAAGCGTTTCTACCAAATAGTGACGCTTTGATGACCTTGTCACTCAATTCAACTTTACGACATCACTGGACCGTAAAATGGTGCTCTTCCCGTCTCTTTCTTTCTCACTATCAATCATCATTTTCTTCTTCATTCTGATCATCTTGCCTATTTCGTCCCCTTCATCCACTGCTTAACCCCCTTTTTCTTTCCACTTTCTTTCTTTCAAAATGATTTTGAACCCGTTTCACCCCCTTTTTATGGTGTTTTTACTCATAACAGATCAGATTCATGATTGACGAAAAACGTGGAAGCTATTAAGACGCTGATGAAATGGTATTGATGCTGATAATATAGAAATTTAACAATTGATTTCACCATTTGCAGCTACCTGTCCAATTGATCCAAACCAAGCCTATCTAAAGCTTTGACCGATGCATCAGATTATCCTAAATTATCCGCTGCATGAGAGATTTTATTGGCACAAGCTTTACCCTGAAAAATACTGTGACTATTGCACTTACTGACTCTATTTGGACAAAGATTGACATATTGTGAGTACAATCAATGGAAATAATTTTGAATATTCAGATACATTTATCTAACCTTTTATTTTTCTATTTCAGGCGAATCCATCCAATCATTGTTCTCATTTTGCATGGAAAACAGAGGTTAAATACTTGAATTGATCAAAGGAACTTTTGACATCTCCAGTTAAATTAATTAAGTAATTTGAGAAAAATGGAAACGTAATGGTTGCTGCATGAATTTAAAGATAACTCATGGTTGACGGTTGTTCAATATTGAGATTCACTAATTGGATATTATACATACGTAGCAGTGAAATGTTTGTATATCTTCTTTATCGAGAGTAAAATCAAATTGAGGATAAAATGGTTACACATTAACAGTATTTGCAAATCAAAGAAGCGCTAATACTGATATTTATTGAAACTTTTTGCTGTTTGTGTGGTGTGTTTTCGTTATTTATATTTACAACAATAATATTGAATGAAAAAGCTTACCAAACCTAACAGTAAACAGTAAAGAATCAAATTAAGTTAAAACTGATCTTCTTTCAAGTTGATTGAACTTCAAACAATTACTGTTGAAATCCTTTGCCCTGATTGATCGGTCGATGGAAAATAATTATCAATTTTTCTCTTTACTTTTCTGCTCTCTTTCTCTCTCTCTCTGCTCATCATCACCTCACTCCCTCCCTCCCTCTCTCTCTCTCTCTCTCTCTCTCTCTCTCTCTCTCTCTCTCTCTCTCTCTCTCTCTCTCTCTCTCTCTCTCTCTCTCTCTCTCTCTCTCTCTCTCTCTCTCTCTCTATCATCCCTTGTTACCAAAAAAAGAGTTAAGAGGGACACAAGAATTAGAACAGAAAAGATGATGATAAAGATGAAAAATAAGTGAAGACGAGCTGATAACCTTGCGAAACAAGTTTTAAGCTTTGCCAGTTTAGCCATAAAAAAGATTCATTTATTAAATTGATTCAACTTCATTCATGATTTCAGTTAATTTTCAGATCACAATCTAATTTAAATATCTCACTCTCACTCTCTTCATCTTTCATTTTTAGCTTGTTCAATCGATCGGAAAGCAAAAAAGATGGAAAAATATTGGCCAAAGCTGGACGACTATTTCAATCTCCATAACCAAAGCGTGTAACAAGCCTACAATGGGCGATCACGACGAGATGCCTCTTCTCATGAATTTCAACTGTAATCTTCACCGTTTCTTTGAATCTCCAGGAAGATATGAATCAACTTGATCTCAAAAAAGATGGCATTGATCTTATAGCAAGTAATAACATCCTTCTTACCAGTCACTCTCTCTCAACTTGTGCATCATTTTCCTTCCTTTCTTGTTACCTTCTTTTTTTACTTGGGCTCTCCTCAGGTCATTATTACATCATTACCATTAGCAGGGTATATTTATTTGATTTGACCAAAACAAAACCTGTTGAAGAACTATTTACGTCACAATTTGTTCCGATTTTTTGGTTTTTGTTTTGATCACTTGATCTTATTGCAAAAGGAAAAAAAATAAACAACTTGTTGATAGATTGGATTATTCTTAGATTGGTCAGTATGAGTTCAACAGTCAAAATGTTTAAATAAACACTTTCCAAGATTAAGAGACGTCCAGCCATCTATCGCTTTTCACAACTGTTCAGTTAACGATAATTTTTGTTTCAAGACATTCACTTGTTGCAAATTTTAAACAGAGTTGATAACAATTATTTTAGACCATTTTTTTCTCGCACTTTATAAAGTTCCTTTAATCATGATCAACAATAGATGTTACAGGTTAATTAATACTCTTCTCTTTTCAAATACAGTTACAGTTGACGGTTACAATTCCAATTGTGGACAAGGCTGTGGTCATCCTGATAGAGGCTAACCTATTTGATATGGGAAAACGCAATTGAAACTGTCACCATTATGGAGTTATAATTGGATAATGACTTTCTGAGTTGCATGGTGTTGGTAAAAAATCCAAGTGGCATAAGAAAATGATTATTATGATGATCAAATATCTTGTTTTTTTCATCTCTTCTCTTATCATTATCATCATCATCATAAAAATTTCATTTTCTATTTTTATAATTTCATTTTATTACCTGCAGCTCCTCAAGCGTCCACGATTACTGGTAAAATAATTTGTGGTCATTCTCTTCCTATTTTACTGATGGATTCAATCGGATTGAGAGAGATACGGATCTTACTTTACCCTGATCAAGATGAATTTCCCTCTTTACCAAGCCAACTTTGTTCAGATGAATAACCAAATATTACATCCACATGGACCTGCAATTTCAGCTCATCATAATAATTATTATTTTTTATTTCATTTTACTTTTCTTATTCTCTTCACCTCCTGCTGACTCGACAAAAGTTGCTGCAGGATTTATAACGGCAAAATGATAGAGATGAACTGTTAGTCTGGCAGATTAAAATTTAGACTTTCGTTCAATTAAACAGAAAAAAATAAACACTCTCTTGGCTTGATTTCATTCATGATTATTTCTGATTTTCACATCAAAATTTGATTTAAATGTCTCCTTATTTTCATTTATTAAATTGATCTATTCTAATCTAAACATTTTTGGAAATAATAAAAATGATATTTCGGAATCACCTTATTCCTTGATTATTGATCATTTCGACCCATTAAGGATCAGTCCTAATTTTAAAAAATTCATAAATCCCTTATACATTATAGGGATTAAGCTTTGCTTCATTTTTGGTATCTTTGAAAGCAACTTTAATTCAAAAAATACAGTCAAAGATCATGAAAGATATGACAATGCGCTAAGATACCAAAAATGAGGCAAACTTAATTTTCTATGCTGAATATTTGATAAAATAATTCATTCAATTTTACCGCATATTTTATATTAAACATTCATATTTTGAAATTTGAGAAAATATTCTTATTATACTGACACATGATAACTGGGTTTGATCACGATAAAAAAGTAGTTAAAGTTTAAGTTAATTAGTCATAATTTTGTATTAGAGTAGCGCACGGTAGTTGACGTGACCTTTAAGATGGTTTGTTTTTTTTAGTTTACCTTGGTCGGACTTCTTGGTCAGTCACTTCGAAATGTAAATAAAAAATCAACAAATAGACCGAGAAACACCAAACTAACCAGAAGTAAAGAGACAACCAAAGGGCAGAAAAAAACTAGCGCTACCTTTTTGGGTATCCCGACCTATTAAAGTCAACTACCGTGTGATTAAATTTGCCTTGAATAACAGATAAATCATTAATTACATTTACGCTTTGTCAACATTGGTCCAATTATTGAGCCATTGGAAATAACTGTGATCAACTCCGAGCATTTGCTATCAAAAGTAGCAATAACATAGCAATTTCAGCTTGCACCTAATAAAAGTTAAAAAAAACAAAATTTGAGTTTATTTAAAAGCAAATAAAAATTAAACCCTTAACAACCCTGAATAATAAAAGAAGTTAATGGAAATCAAAAGTACTTACTTTAATATAGTTCCAACTGCTTGCATACAAGCACCAAAACACGGTCAATACTTTGTCATCAACCAAATAGTCCAACGTGTTTAACACCTTGACTTTGACATCAACTGGGATGGGAACACCTGAAGAAACATAGTTGAATAATGTCGCGACACATTGATTGTACTAAAGTCGAAAAAAGTAAATTAAAAATTAGATTGAATTACATCAACAGAAACGGAAACAAAGGCAAAGGGTAACAGTAAACTGAAGGTTGATAACCAAAAATGATTAGCAATATGTGTAAAGGTACACATTAAAAGGTGTACATAGACATATATTTTTCAACTAAAATAATGAAAGGATAATAATTAAAGCTTACCTGTCGTTGACAATAAATACCCGGAATTATGTTGATAGATTGACCATAAAAAATGGTTAAAAATCCAAGCCAAATCATTATATAAAGCATGACACTAGTGACGCCTTTTGCGAAAAATATCAAATAAATAAGTAACGTTTCTGCGAGAAATGTTCCCATAAAAATGATGTTATTTGTTTTATCCCAAAAGATTCTTGATTTTTTAATTTCTTTGCATAAAAGTAAAATGTTTTCCTCGTATTGTACTAGTGACAGTGTAAAGCTATTTGTTGATGAAATCGATGGGAAGCGCTTCTTTTTGATACGCTCATAAAATCTGGTCTCAAAATATTTACTTTGTCTTGATTTCAAGGAGCGTAAAAAAATGGTCTCCAACCGATTAAAACGATAACCACAATAGTAGAAATAAAACCCGAAAAGGATTGAAAAATTGACTTCCCAAGCAGCAGCAAGAAATCCATGAAATCCAGTGTTGATTGAATTGAGAATGGTCAAAGGTAAACAACTGATTGGGAAAAACAGCAATATTGGTATATTGACAGACCAACCCGTAAAATAACTAATGGCTAAAGCTGACTTTAAGGCTATAAAGGTTGATTTAATCAACAGAGGTGGCAAAGGGTAACACAATTCATGAGTAAATTGTTTTTCACGCTTGGAATCATTGGTTGTCTCAAGTATACTCATCGGTTTGATCCAATATTGATATCGATGGTTGATTGTTGAAATATAGCAAACAGTCCGAACTCCATGTGCAATCAAAGTCCACAGAAAGCAAACAATTAGATACCAAAAACGAGCCGATCCCATGTACCAAGTAAAATCACCCAAAACGACGGCCACTTTGAATGAAGAAACAGCCGTCAACGAGGCAAATTTGATGCAACCATAAATCAAATCAGGCCAAGCAAGTAACCGAATCAACCAAAGCAATGAACCAAATTTATAATGGTTACCAGGATAATATGGGAAATAAGCTAAATGGCAACGAAACAATGAGTTCAATTTTGAATGATAAGCTTTAGATGAACAAGCCATTCCAGAATGTCGCTTTTCACTATTAGCTTTGATGAGTAGTTGAATAGTTATTACTAGCTGGAACAATTTATTCCAACAAGTTACCAATTTGTTTTTCATTTTTCACTCAACTTTCATCTTGCAATGTCAATTTTCATCTGACTATTGATCAACATTACGAAATGAAAATGTAAATGTTTAACTTTGAAAATTAACAATAAAACTTGACGTGTTTTCAGTTCATAAATATCTTTGGATCAACTCGCTTCGCCTGCTTTTTAGACAAATTGATTATTCCTCAATACATTAGCTAAATGTAATACATTTTAATGCATGATGTCTACATGTTTACATTAGTTTTGATCGCGAATAGAAAAAAAAATTATGTAAATTGTAGCAAAAAATGAGATAATTGCCTTTTATTAAAATAATATGATGAGGTTGATTCCCTTTTCACTGTTTAATGTTTTGCATTCAAGCTTTCAATTTAAATTTCAATTTCAAATCGATTGACTGCTAAAACTTTTCAAATTTTAATATTTTGACCTTTTAAAATCTTCATTATATTGATTCACCAAGAAACATGAATATAATTGTCGTTCAATGAGAATCCTTCATCTTAAACTTCGACTCCTGCAAGGCACAGACCTTTATACATGCTTTGTACTTACATTGGGTTGCCATTGAAAAGACAAAATTAACAAAATTGACACAAATACTGAAAGAAAAGTGGGCAAAAATGGGTTAAAATTACTCTATTTCAGGTCTAGATTCTGTTAGATTGTAGGGAAATGCGACCTGAATCCATTGGTGCTATTAAAAATGTTCAATGATCCACAAAACCGAGAGAATCAAGTCCAAAGTTGAAATCTGGATTGATTTGATTCTCTGGTTTTGGGCATTGGTCAAAAAACTTAACCTCAATATTTTGAGAATGGTAGCGCCTACAATGATCATTCTTTATCCAATTTAATTCTTTACTTGTTAATAATTGAATTAAATTCAATAACTTTACATTGACGCATCTGGTCTATGATATTTGGATTGTAAATGTACGAGTAACAACTTATTTAACAAACTAAACTCATTTTAACCCATTTCTTGGTAAATAAAGCAATTTTCTGGTTAAATTTGCAAATGAAATGCAAAGAGTGCTGTCAAAGACGCGAACATTTTAGTTATGGGTTGAGACTTAGTGGCTTTTGTAGGGAAATAAAAACTGAGTCCCTTGGTACTATTAAATTATTCATCCAATGGACAGTTTTCTAGAAAATCGAGGCCAAAGTTGAAACTTCGATCGCTTTTTTGACAGCTATGGAAGCAGTTTTTTTCATGAAACTTCTACAACTGATGTAACTTTTGATGAGCAACGATAACATGATCTTATTTAGAGAAATAAAACTTTCTGTTATTGTAAAACAGATCAAGTTCGATTTTCACTTAAACCGATCGCATTGTGTGACCTTAAGGTTCAGAGAGCTGAAACTTATTATGTGTCGATAGAAATGGTTGATATACATCTCTAGTCAAACAAA